TGTGCCTTATTATTGTATAGGTGGTCCATCTAGGCATATAGTGGTGGCCCGGTGCATGGCATGAGCTGGAATGTTCTCGATTCCATGGCTAGTGTTGTACAAGTAATGGCACTTCAGTTAGCGGTCTAGGATGCAGAGTAATTATTATTAATCTACTGTGAAATAAATGATACTCTTCATAATATCAATGTGATACATTTATCATGATTTTCATCACTTGATATTGTCAGTAATGCTGTAGGTGTTAGCTTGACCCTTTCGATCGTCATCCTGCCTCTATCTCCCTCGCCCTTGCCTATAACAGTATCTTATCCTCATCCCACCCGATTATAATATAACTGAAGCACAATTATCATCATAATTAAAAGATTAGTGATGATAAAGTAAAGAATGGAAATATAGTTGTTGTTTTTTTGCGAAAAGTACAAACAAAACAACCAGAAATACAAATAGGTAATGGAAATTATAATAGAAACAGTAATTACCACAATGATAAAGACAAATTAGCAATGATGCAGAATTCTACTATAAGCTATCAAAATGACTGAATACTGGTGCTTAAAAATTAAGTAAGAGAAAGAGAGGGAAGAAAGAAGGAACGAAAAGGGAAATCGCGTCCTTCGTCCCTGAAATTGCCTCACCCCATATGTTCTTTACGTTCAGGTCCGCTCCCTTGGTGGCCAGGAGCTTGATGACTTCCACGTGTCCATACTGAGCGGCTCTGTGCAGGGGAGCGAATCCTGGAAAGGGGAGAAACGTGTTTACTTTCCTATTCCGGAAGAAAGATAGACCATGAAAAGCAAAAAAAAAAAAAAAAAAAAAAATTCAATTGTGTTCCTGAATGAGCTTTGTGGTGTTAGTGTTCAGAAGACAATTTCAAAAAGTGATTAGGGGAACTTCTTGCAGCTATAGGGACACAAGGAATGGTATTCAAAGTGCACCAAAATTTAGGGAAATTCTAGAGAACAGGATGTAATGACAGTGTAGCCCATCTATAACGACTTAATCAATGACACGTTGGGCACAGAACCAACGATTTATACATTACAGAACAGAGTTTCGCCTTTTAACTTAAAACCCAACTGCTGAAATCCATCCCTTTGGTATCAGAGTAAGAGCCGAAGCAAATTCACTTTAGTTGAAAAAGAATTACTACGAGGTCGGGTAAACGTGATGCTCCACACATATGAAAACTTACCTTCACTCTTCTTCTCGTCGAGGTCCCCCCCTTGCGGGCCAGGGTTTCAACGACGGCGACGTGGCCATTGAGAGACGCCAGGTACAAAGGAGTGCTTCCTGGAAAAGGGAAAGATAATGTTTCCACTTGCGGAAGACAGGCCATTAGGGAAAGAAAATGCAGAACGAGGAATGCGGAACAAATAGGAAAAACTAGATACATAGTATATGGGTATAGATATAGATATACAGACATATAAACTGACATACAAACACAAAAGCACGCCCAGACACCTACGTTCATATATACATATACATTATATATATGCGTGTGTGGTGTATATAATATATATGTATATATATATATATATATATATATATATATATATATATATATATATATATATAGAGAGAGAGAGAGAGAGAGAGAGAGAGAGAGAGAGATTATACGGATGTGTATGTATGTATATATGTGTCTGGAGATGCTTACACACACACACGCATATATATATATATATATATATATATATATATATATATATATATATATATATATATATATATATATATATATATATATATATACATACATACATACATATATATATGTATACATATACATATATATATATATATATATATATATATATATATATATATATATATATATATATATATATATATATATATATATTATATATATTATAGGAAGTACATCGCAAGCGATGAAGACGTCATTGACGCTTCATATGGGATCACAAGCCAAAATTTGAGGCACAGATGCGTCCACACTCAAGACATGCTACAGTAGTTTGCGGACCGGTCTCCTCTCCTTGCGAGCTTGGCGCTTCTGGTCTAGGTTTGAAAGCGCTTTTTTCTAAGGCATTGACTCCCTTTTGTGGACAGCCAGACGCCAGGCACTGCGGTCAGAGGCAAGAGTTCCCCCAGCCCTGAAATGGGATACCACAGGCTACAAGGGAAGTTTTCAAGCAGTCTTTGAAGCGCTTGAGTCGCCGTCCGATGTTTCTTGCATCAGAGGCCAGTTCAGAGAAGAAGACCATCCTTGGAAGGTGCGAGTCGTTCATCCATATCACATGCCCAACCCACCTCAACTGTGCTTTCGTGATGAGCGCCTTGATGCCAGGCATGTCAGCTCTGCGAAGTCCTTCTGTGTTGGAGATTCTTTTCGCCCATGATCTTGTGCAGGTATCGGATATGAAACTGATCCAGAGCTCTCAGTTGTTTCCTATACAGCATCCAGGTTTCACAACCATAGAGCAGGGAAGTGGTAACAACTGCTCTATAGACTGCCAGCTTGGTGTGAAGCATGATATTGAGTTCTCCCTACACTCTACTTTGGTTCTGGCCTTCACACGCTCAAGTCAAAGAAGTGGCCATCATATCTGTAGCGGATAGTGATTCCTACATCGGTGTTGGACAGTGCAGAGAACAGCATAGTGGCGAGCATGAGGCTGAACGGAGTTGGCGCCAAGACATAGCCTTGTTTCACTCCATTGACACTGAGAAAGGGTTTGACACACAAATCCATTTTCCACTACATGGGCCATCATACGGTCATGGAATGATCTGATGATCTTGATGAACTTTGATGGACAGCCAAGTTTGGAGAGTATGGACCACAGACCCTCACTACTGACGATGTCAAAGGCCTTCGTTAGGTCAACGAACAGACGTATGGATTCTGGCACTTCTCTTGCAGTTGGCGGAGAGCAAACATCATGCCAATTGTTCCCCTGTCGCTCCTGAGACACAACATCGTCCAGCAAGTGGTGAAGGATGCGATTCAGGATGATGTGAGACACGGTCTTCCCTGCAGTGCTCAACAGTGAGATGTCACATGATGCTCTGTCGCCTATATTCTTGTGCAGGTGAATGATGTTGTCCATGAAGTCCTGAGGCACTGATCCTGCCTCCCAAAACTGCTGCATCAGCTCAGTGAGCTTGACTGCCATAGCCTATCTGGAGTTGCTTGATTGCTTTCCGGGTTTCCTCCAGTGTCGGAGGGTAATCAAGTGATGTCAGGACCAGACGTTAAGCCATGTTCAGGATTGCTTGCTGGTCTATCTGGGATGGTCTGTTCAGGAACTGACTGAAGTGGTCACACCACCGCTGTACGATGTCACTCTTCTTAATGAACAGAGTGCCATCAGCTTATCGAAACAGGTGCCAATGGCATTGGAAGAGGGTCCATACACAGTCTCCAAACTATCAAAGAACTTCTTAGAGTTGTGCTCGTCTACATACTGTTGTAACTATGCAGCCTTGGCCACCCACCACTTGTCCTTCATCTGTCGTATGGCAGTCTGGACCTTGCTTCTGTGTTTATGCTTAGATGTTGACTCCTTGTCATTGAGCCAGCTGTTGTAGGCTTCTTGCTTCTGTTTGAGCAGGCTGGTAATCTCTGTGTTCTTGCTGTCAAACTAGTCTTGGTGTTTCCTCTTCGGGTGTCCAAGTGTCAGTTTGGCTGAGTCGTAAACTGTGTTCCTGAAGTTGGCCCAAGCTGCCTCTGGATCTTCTTCAGCTGGAAAGCTACAAAGCCGGTCTGCTAGGTTGGTTACAAGGGCTTCCTTGGTTTCAGGGTCAATGAGTCTCTGGACATTAAACTTTTTGATGTCTGTGCCTGCTGGCGATGGATGAGGAGAGCCTGCTCCTCAGCAGTAGTGGTCAGTCCAATAGTCTGCTCCTCTCATTACCCTCGTAATTTGTACATCTTGAATGTCATGGCGCTAGTAACCACGTAGTCGATCAGGTGCCAGAGTCTGGAACGAGGGTGCCTTGTGGATGTGTGGTAGCTGGAACAGGGTGTTGGTGATGGTCAGACCATGGTCAGCACAAAGCATAAGAAGCAACTGGCCATTAGAGTTCTCCTGGCCCACTCCAAGTCGTCCAATGACCTCTGGCCATGACACGAAGTCTTTGCCCACACGAGCATTAACGTCCCCAAGCAACAGGAGCTTGTCACCTTTTGGAGCAGCGTGTAACAAGTTTGAAAGGTCCTGGCAGAACAACTTCTGCTCATGGGTGTACGACATAGTGGGGGCATACGCACTGATGGGTGTTAGGTGCTTTTTTCCTTTGAGGGGCAGTCTCATCGCTGTCAGACGATCACAGGTTCCCTTTGGTAAAAACTAGTTTTTTTCACAAAGGTACGTATGTCAAAGCCAACTCCTGCTTCTCTGCATTCCTCATGTCTTTTCTGAATAGAAAAAGGTATATCCAGCTCCTATCACTGTGATTTTGCCAGAGTCTGCCAGGCGTGTTTCACTGAGAACAGCAATATCATTGTTGTATCGCTGAAGTTCTAGTCCCACGAGTGCTGTTCGTCGCTTTGGTCTGTTGCTGTTCTTGTTGTCCATGAGAGTCCTGATGTTCCAAACTCCAACACATAAATGGCACTTGTAGGTAGATATTCCATCCTGTGATGTTCTTTGTTTCGACCACATTTCTAGATGTCCAGTCAGCTGCGGTATGCCTACAGGATGGAGTATGAGGCAAGCTTTCTTTAGGTCACCTTTTCTAGACCCTTCCCTCTGAGGAGGGAGCACTGCTGTCTGTCACCATAGTGGCTGCCGAACACTACCTTGCCCCAGGTGAGTAGAGAACGACCATCCTGCCCTGGTCGCCTGAGTGCAAGTCTGTGACTAGCAGATCCTAGTGTTATCTTACACCTGCCACCGTCGCCAGTGGAGTCAGTGAACGGTGTCACTGAACCCTGGGCGAAGGATGCGTGGAGGCCGTGGGTTGCCCGAGCACCACGACCCGCCTTTCAATCCAAGCTGCTATAGTCAAGAGGGATGCAGGGCATAACGTCTCAACCACAACTGGACCGCAGGAGCAGTCGGATAGATGATGGAATTCAACATCAAACCGCCTGAGGGGCTCCACTCCGGATTTTCTGTAGGGGTTTACTCCCTTGGCCTTTGCCTTTCCCAAGACTACCTGCGCACACACACACACACACACACACACACACACACACACACACACAACACACACATACATACATATATATATATATATATATATATATATATATATATATATATATATATATATATATATATATATATCTACGTACACACAAACGCACACACACACACACACAACCACATACACACACAACAGAGTACACTCACACACACACTCAACCAAATACACACACACAACACGCACACACACAACCAAATACACACACAAACACAACCAAATACACACACACACAACCTAATACACACACAACCAAACACACAAACACACTCACACAACCAAATACACTCACACACACAACCAAATACACACACACACACAACCAAATACACACACAAACACAACTAAATACCACACACACACACACACAACACACACACACACAACCACACACACAACCAATACACACACACACAACCAATACACACATACACACACACAACACACACACACACACACACACACACACACATACACACACAACCAAATACACACACACACAACCAAATACACACACACACACAACACACACAACACACACACAACCAAAAACACACACAACCAAATACACACACACAACCAAATACACACACATAACCACACACACACACACACAACACACACACACACACACACACAACCAAACACACACACACACACACACACAACCAAACACACACACACACAAACACAAGCAGACTCGTTTTTGTTTGTGCTCATATATAATGTTCGTATATGCAGGACACACACCCTTACACATATATGTATATATGTATGTATAGTCTTGGTAAGTAGTAAGTAGTAGTAAGTAATAAGTAATAATAATAATAATAATAATAATAATAATAATAATAATAATAATAATAATAATAATAATAATAATAATAATAATAATAAATAATAATAATAAGTAATAAGTAATAAGTAGTAAGTAGTAGTAAGTAGTAAGTAGTAAGTAGTAGTAGTAGTAAGTAGGTAGTACTTTGATGCCCTTTGGGATACAATGTTTGATCAGTTATGGATTTTGTGAGTTGCTTTTATTTTCATTATTTTTGTTCACTGTGAGACGAAATGAGCAAAAATAAGGTCCTCTCTGACCAGATGCTAGGCCAGGCATCTATATGCATATATATATATATATATATATATATATATATATATATATATATATATATATATATATATATATAGAGAGAGAGAGAGAGAGAGAGAGAGAGAGAGAGAGAGAGAGAGAGAGAGAGAGAGAGAGAGAGAGAGAGATTAATGAAGGAAAGATACTGCTGATGCTGCATTCAAAGGACGGTGCTTTATTGAATAACAATGTTCTTTAAGGGGGAGGGGGGGGGAGGGAGGAAGGAGTTGCCTTATCTTCCTCCTCCCCTAATAAACTCAGGGTAATCCTACCCAGGACCGAGTGTGACCGCCCTTTCAAAGGCCCGGTCACACTAGTCTATTCTGACCAGGAATCCCATTACAGAGCGGAATCTTTCCAGCGCTTCCAAGTAATTATATCTTTTCCGGAAATCTCTCTCCTGTTCTGGCCAGGAATGAAAGACTGACACAGCGCTGGAATGATTCCGCTCTGTAACGGAATCCCAGTCTGAATAGACTAGTGTGACCGGGCCTTTGAAAGGGCGGTCACACTCAGTCCTGTGTAGATTATCCTGAGTTTATTAGGGGAAGCAACTTCCTCCCTCCCCCCCTCCCCGTTAAAGAACATTGTTATTCAACAAAGCACTGTCCTTTGAATGCAGCATCAACAGTGTCTTTCTTTCATTAATATTCTCTCTTCTCTCTCTCGCTCTCTCTTTTCTCTCTCTCTCTCTCTCTCTCTCTCTCTCTCTCTCTCTCTCTCTCTCTCTCTCTCTCTATCTATATATATTATATATATATATATATATATATATATATATACCTGGCCTCATCGAGAATGAAGCTCGTGTGTCTAAATGCCATCGAAAAATAACGAAATCAGTAGAAATGTCTTGCCATTAACGGATGAGTAAAAAAAGTGGAAAATAGACGTATTCAATACCTTATTAGCCATAATAACTTATATAAAAATCTACTGATGAATGAAAAGAGTTGATATCCATTGAAATTATCATTTTTCTTGGATATGTTTTGGTTATGATTATCCTTCCCTCAAATTACAACAGCATTAATGACTGCAGTAAATCTGAAGGTTAGGAATCTTAAGCGAAAGGGTTTCAAAAGGTCAGCAAATATGTCTATGTTATGCGATGCCTATGCAAATATTTATGAAAGTAATCTCTTAGTAGTAGTGGTAATCTAGCAACAAGATAAAAATAATGATATCAGCAACTATTATGAATAATATAAGTACTAATATAATCATCATATATTTCTATTAACAACCATGGTAATCAAAATGTATGCAATGAAGAGACTGATAATAATAATACTGATAACAATAAAAATAGTAATTGTTCTTATTATTAGATTTATTATTATGTTGATAATCATGGAGGGTTAAGCAGTAACATGACTGAAAAGGGGGGAGCAGGGTTGAGGGGAGAGGGACTGGAGAAGGGAGAGGCAAGGAAGAAGGAAATAAAAAGGAAGGTTGCGGACAATGCGAGGAAAAGGGGAAAGCGAGGCGAGGGTGGAGGGGAAAGGGATACGAGGGAGGAAGAGTGAGAAATGAGACAGAGGGAAATAGTTCTAAATAAGGACTCGTGCAATATTAAAGGCCGTCTTCCTTTCTTTCTCTTACAGTCAACTAACTGCATATCGAGTTATATCAGTTAGAATATGACAATGGATGCGATTCTTAAAAAAAAAAAAAAAAATGAAATATTACTCCTTCAGAAATATGAAGCATTTCCTACAGATTGTTACATTGAACTACAGAACTTGTACTACTGATAATGATAATGATGAGAAGGGAGGTGATACTGATGGGTTTGGTGATGAAGATGATAGCAATATATCATAGTAACAGTAGTAATCATAAGATGGAATTTCAATGAAACCACAGCAAATACTCATTATTACAATTTAGAAAATTATAATAACTATGTTAATTGATTGATTAATAAGCCTAGATTGTTATTGTAAGGATACAATGGCAGTAATAAATGATTATTTGGCTTTCCGGAGTCGTTCTTCTGTTCAGCCATTGTTGAGAAAAGCAACTTAAAGATATATGGAAAAAAGTCGTGAAACTGCTCTCTTAAACTCCTTTGTTCGTCTTCATCTCCCTCTACTTCTAATTATGCCTCTACCACTCCTTTCTCTCGTCGGCCACCTCCATTCCCCTCGCCCATCCTACCTCCATCCTATCCCTATGTAGGATAGGGATAGGACACTTACATACTTATCATCGAAATTAAGTAAAATGAAATAATAAATAGTTAAATAAATGAACAAAGAAAAGGGTAATATAATAATAATAAAAATAATAATAAGTGAAAGGGAATGCCAGGAGTGCTGCAGCAGCAAAGTGCCCAACCAAGCGATGAAAAGCAGCCATCGAAGTGCCATTCAGTACCAGCGCTGTGAAAAGAGTAGATGAAAAGGAAGGAGAGAATGATGGGACCAGGACTAGCTGCGTCCTTCGTCTCAGAAACTGTCTCACCGTCGTCGGTCTTGGCGTTCAGGTCCGCCCCATTGGCGGTCAGGATTTCAGCCACTCCTTCCTGCCCGCTGGAGGAAGCTTCGTGCAGGGGAGTCCGTCCTGAAAAGGGAGAGAGAAACTGGACTTAACTTCCCCGTTTTCGGAAGGCAAACCAAAAGGAAACGGAAATGCAGAACGATGAATGTGTACCAACGAGAATAAAACAAGCTCATGAGAAAGGAATCGTGCGGGTAAACAGACTGTTAACAGAAACTCTCACCTATTGTAATCTTGAAAGCCAAGAAGACATTAAGTGTTTTTTATTGTTCATAAGTATGAACAAATCATGAAGTTATTGTGGTAATACTGACTGCAAAACTACGACGATCAGACATAAAAAAGAAATACATTTGTATTTAAGTAAGGTCAAGCAAACAAACATAACATTTACAAATACATATACATACATACGTATATATATGCATATACGTATATCTATCTATCTATCTATCTATCTATCTATCTATCTATCTATATATATATATATATATATATATATATATATTAATATATATATATATATATATATATATATATATGCATAGCAACATGCTGAAGGTGCTTTATAAAAACAAGATGAACTGGCATTTTGCCGTAGAATAATTTTCGTTAACAAAAGATATTTTGTTTTTCCTCCTGAGCTAATGCCATAACCACATCAACATGACAGGAATGACCGTGAAAGCGTGTGCTTAGGGTTTGAGCGTGAAAAGCGAGGAATCAAATGGATTGTTCGCCAAGGCAGGTTGGCGTCGTGAATATAAAGATTTGCGTCTCGTGTCGTATGTCTGTTTCCTTCTACGTACCGTCGCGGGAATACGCTGACCATCAGATTAATATCCATCAATATTACAAACATTATCATCAGGAATATGATCGTCATAGACGCCATAAAACAGTAAGACATCACCACCGTCATTATCATTAAGAACATCACAATCAACGTGAAGGGAAAATACAACACCCGCAGTGACAGCTTTTACCCTCGCTGCCTTGGCATTGACATCGGCTCCGGCTTCGACCAGGATCTCCACCACCCTCTCGGCCTTCCTCGGCGGCCTCGTGAAGCAGGTGCCTGCCTGATGGACAGACAGACTTGCATTAGCTTTCCTCTTTCTCCATTCATGCTCCACTATATCAGTTCATAATATACCCATCATTATCATAAAGTTATTAGCATGTTCATGGGACGTTATCATAGATGAGCCCCGCCGCCAGAGCGGCAACATTCGCGCTGTGCTTATCTGTACAAACCCACGCTCCCAGTTCCGCAAAGGAGCTCGGGAGAGGAGCCGCTGCGGCGTCTTACCGAGGAAGTCCTTCGGGCGCGCGAGGCAGGGAGGCGAGAGCGGACCGCAGGGCCTGCCCGTCCCCCGCGCCGCAGGTCCAGCTCGCGAAGGAGCGGGAGTCAGTTCTCGCCCACGCCCGAGGCTACCATTGCGTGTGTGTCGTGTGTGTGCACACACACACAACTCATGCATGTGTCCCTCACCTGTCTTGTTGCGTTGTGTGCTTTCTCTCTCTCTCTCCCTAACTAACTACCATTACATACATATATATCTTCATATATATACTTACTACTATATACTATACGTATTATACTATATATATCCTAACTTATACTTATATATTATCTCTATACTATCTATATATATGCGTGTCCTCTCTCTCCTCTCCGTGCGTCTTGTGGTGTGCTCGTGTCGTCCGTCTTCTCCTGTGTGTTGTGTGTCCTGTGTGTGTGTATGCTGGCTTGGGTCCTCCTTTGGTTCCATCTCTTTCTCTCCCTTCTACCTTCTCCTTCGTGCGTATTGTCGCTTCTGTTGCTGTGTGTCTGTTGCGTGGTGTGTGTCGCTCTCTGTTATGTTTCGTTCTTGCAGTTGTGTCTCGTGTCGCGTGTGTTTTTTTGTGATGTGTGTTCTTCTTCCTAATTTTTCCCCCGTCCGCTCTCTTTCTGTTACCCGCTCGCTGGGTATTATGCCGACTTCTGATCCTTCTTCTGGCGCAATTCTCCTTCCTTCAATTCTCGGTTTCCCTTTCGTTCTTTTGCTTCGGCGCTTCCACTTTTCGCTTCGATACAATTGGCTCAAATTACCTAAGGACGCAAAGAATAAATAATAAATGATAGGAATTAACGAAGATAGATATATATATAAATATTAAATGACGAAATAAAGTTTATAGTATCGGCTTCTAGGCATACGTGCACAACTTAAGAACCTTATTACTTCTAGAAGTACTTTGCATGAGTAGTAATACAAAAATACTACCAACATAGGCTATTTAGTAGATAATTATATTTTATTATGTACTACAGAGCCCTCTATATTAGCTATACCTAAGGTGGATACTAGCCAAATATATGTAATAAATGAAATTAGAAAAATATAGGGTAGGTACGGTATAAGTAAGGGCGGCCCTATTAATGTGGCGTATACTATAAATATATCTATTGTAAGGCTCGTTTATGAAGTTAGGTTATCTATTCTAACATAATATTATGTACTACAGTTATCATTTATACAGACTAACTAATAAATAGAGCTCTTTATGAAGTAATGCATGATGAGTGAGGCTCAAGTCTGTAATATGAAGGGACAAATAGTCATGAGGTCAGTTACAACACGAGAGAGGCAGCGAGCCCGACGGACGACGCGGCACCTAACTGTTATTATATGTATGAATATATGCCCAACTCCCAGCCGGCGGCCTGTTAAATAGGTCAAGTAGCCTGATAGTGCCTCATTTTTTTATACTATCTGTAGGATATCCATACGCGCATAACAGCAATATCGATTCATATATACGTGACACGAAATGTCAAGATACCGCTCACCTGGGTGGTATATAACGGATGTATAAATAACAAACTTTAATAGGTATATTAAAAGACTATGGAGGCATGGGATATTTAGTGGGACGCTAGTGAATAAGACGAGGTCGAGCCTAGTAACCTGCACTTAGCTAAAGTAATGCTGAATCACGGGAACGGGAGATAGCGTAGCGTGGGGTTTTGGCGTACATTTTAAGCGGTGATGATATAGCGTCGTGATAGTAACAGCTTCTACCCATTATTCCATGAGACATACTATGCTACTAGTTCACTTGAGGATTAGCCAATTAGGGCGCCCAATGATATATATATCACTCACAATCTGTATATTGTACCTCTTAACTATATACCGATGCGGCGAACACGGAGCTATATAGGGTCATCACAAACGTATAAACGGATATCCAGGGTAGGAGAAGGATAGTATTATGATAGGAATGTAGTATATGAGAATAAATACTATTAATAAGTAGACAAAGACCTGAGAGTATAAGGGAGATACCGATAGTATTAGACCAACGTGAAAGGTAATAGATTGTGGAGCGAAAACGAGGCGAAGGGAGATAAAGGGAATGGATGCTATACCCAGTATAGGAGAGTTCAGGAATGAGACGTAGTCGTAGGCTTGCTATATAACATACTATATATATATATATATAATAATACCTATGTATATGGGAACGGAAGAGCAGGCGGGAAGGAGGGAGTAAGCGACTACGTTATTAGAGAGATATAAGAATAGAGTATAGTAGGTAGGTAGGAGAGGTATAATTAAGTAGGGATATTATATATTATTATAGATATAAGTATTATATATGTATAATATATATAGAGATGCAAGGATAAATTGTAATATATATATATGCATTGTTCGTGGAAGGGAATGATTTGAAGGAAAAAGATGAAAGAAAATTATAGGAAGAAATAAAGGATAGTAGTAATAGGAATAGAGCCATCACTGATGACCATCACTATATCACTCATGTAAATTTAAGCGGCATACGTAAATAATGTTTGGTATATCCGTCCTGAGCTGAATTATCTTCGCTGGACGTGAATTGTGTATTTTAGTATCAATTGAGTGAGTAGGCAGCTATAGGGTATATATATACCCTGTACTATAGGTGAGACTGATAGGGGAGGGTAAGGCGTAGGATATTGAGAGTGACAAGATAATAGGAAATAGGAATAAGACTAGGCGGAAAAGTGATGACAGGTATTATATATATATATATATTATGAGTGTCGCATAAGTGAGGTTCCTTTTTAATACCTGGTCTATGAGTGCAAATGGTAGTAATAAGGTAATGAAATAGTACACCGACGGCAAGCGCACAAAACGACAGCACACGCTAACAGTCGACTCATGCATAGTGATGGGGACATGGATGGCTATCATATATATATTATCTTCTGACAGGTTGTATACAGAATAGGGAGATTATATATATAGTAATTAGCGTATAAATGTATAATAGACCACGAGCTATAGGCAGGTCAAATATTAGTAAGTATACGTAGTATATGACTATTACCTGCTAAATAGTAAAGTCACGCTATACCACTATGACCGTATAGGCTATACTTGCAGATGTGCCTTGGTCTATAGTATTAACCGGATGAGTATATAGCGTAGCCTATCGGGGGTCACATATATGCACTCAGGCTGAGTTATTTGCTTCATACCGCTATAGTTTAGTTCAAGTAGCTAGACTATAGTATATTAGCTATCGCTATACGTAACCAGTACCTACGTTACTTTTATTATACTGGTGATAGTATATATATATAGTAATATATATAGATCACTAATTACCTCTACGTACTATAATATACTGCAGTACTACGCACTATCAGTTACAGTCACCTCACGTATACAATGAGTCACGTATTAGCGAATCTGAGCACGTCACTCATGGTTCATATGTATGAGTATATCCTAGAGCTATATAGTCGTACTCATCAGAATAGTGCCACCATAGGCCTCCAGCCAAGCCCGCTCCCTATCTATAGTATAGTAGTAGTATGTATATACCTCTAGGCCTTTTCAGGACATAGACTATATAATTATATATAGAAGTATGTTATAGCTATATATGTTACTATTATTATTGCTGTATACATATTACCTATACCTTTGAATAGTCATATATATATATATATATATAATATATAATAATATATATATAACTAACCTGTATATATATATATATATATATATATATATATATATATATATATATATATATATATATATATATATATATATATATATATATATATATATATATATATATATATATATATATATATATATATATATATATATATATATATATATATATATATATATATATATATATATATATATATATATAGTATATATATATATATATATATATATATATATATATATATATATATATATATATATATATATATATGCGTTCGTGCGTCTGTGTGTGTGTGTGTGTGTGTGTGTGTGTGTGTGTGTGTGTGTGTGTGTGTGTGTGTGTGTGTGTGTGTGTGTGTGCGTGCGTGTGTTTGTGTGAGTGTGTTTCTTTCTCTCTTTGTTTCTCTCTCGCTCTCTTTCTTTCCCGCTCTCTTATCCTATCTCATTCTGTCTTTTTTCTCATTGTCCTTCTTTAATTCTCTTTCCCTTTCTTTTTTGTTCTTTCTCTTCGTTATCCTCTCTCTCTGTCTCTCACTTACTTCCTACTTTGTCTCTCTTTTTTCCTCTCTCTCAATCTCTCTCCTCTCCGTCAATCCTCCATCCGACACTCTTATCCTATTCCCCCTTTTTCTTCCTCTCTTCTTCTCTCTATCTCTCCTTTATCTTTTCCTTACACCCCTTTTCCTCTCTCTCATTTGTCTTTCCCCTCCCTTTTTCTCTCTATATATTTCTCCCTCTCACCTCCCCCCCCCCCGCCTCTCCCTCCATCTTTCATCTCCCTTTCCCTACTTCAGGACTCTCTCTGCTTTCATCTGTATCTCACCTGAAGACTTCTTATAACATCTTCTTTCTCTGTGACAGCATCCTTCAAAGCAGTATTTTCATCCTGCGTTTTTTGGACGTTCTCATCCTTTTCTCGCAGCTTCTCCTGCAGGTCTTTTTGGTCTTTTTCGTGGCTCGTCTGTGAGGAAGAAATCGTCACCTGATCATGCCATTTCATTTGTGTTTTTGGAGTGTAAGTGTGTGTGTCTTTGGGCGTATGTTTGCGTCTTTCCCTAATTGATTATAGATTAGACTCTCTCTGTCAAGATTTTCCACACTCCCTCCTTCTCACTCTCTCCCTCTCGTATTCTCTCTCAGCATCTCTCTAATTACCCTCTTCATAATAATCTCGCTCTCTCTATCCTGTTCTCTCTCTCCTTTCTGTTTGCCTTTCAACCTCTTTTCCATATTCTCTCTACCACTCTCACCCTTTCCTTCTTTCACTCTCTCTTTCTTATTTACGCCCTCTCTTTCGCTGTTTCTCTCTCCCACTCTCTCTTTCTCTCTTTCTTTAGCTCCTCTTTTTCTCTTTCTCTCACTCTCTCTCTCTCTGTCTGTATCTGTCCGTCTCTCTTTCTTTCTCCCTCTTTCTCACTCACCCTCTCCCTCCCTCCCTCCCTCCCTCTCTCTCTCTCTCTCTCTCTCTCTCTCTCTCTCTCTCTCTCTCTCTCTCTCTCTTTCTCTCTCTCTCTCTCTCTCTTTGTCTCACTTTCTCTCTGTCTCTGTCTGTCTCTCCCTAACGCACCCTTTCCCTCCCTCCCTCCCTCTCTCTCTTTTTCTCTCTCTCTTTCTCTCCCTTTCTCTCTCTCTCCCTTTCTCTCTCTCTCTCTCTCTCTCTCTCTCTCTCTCTCTCTCTCTCTCTCTCTCTCTCTGTCCGTCTCTCTCTCTCTCTCTCCGTCTCTTCTCTCCTTTCTCTCTCTTCTCTCTCTCTCTCTCTCTCTCTCTTCTCTCTCTCTCTCTCTCTCTCTCTCTCTCTCTCTCTCTCTCTCTCTCTCTCTCTCTCTCTCTCTCTCTCTCTCTCTCTCTCTCTCTCTCTCTCTCTCTCTCTCTCTCTCTCTCTCTCTCCCTCCCTCCCTCCCTCTTCTCTCACTCACCTCTCTCTCTCTCTCTCTCTCTCTCTCTCTCTCTCTCTCTCTCTCTCTCTCTCTCTCTCTCTCTCTCTCTCTCTCTCTCTCTCTCTCTCTCTCCTCTCTCTCTCCCATTGTCTTTACCTATCGATCTATCCATTTATTTTGCTAGCTTGTTACCTACACCTCTGTCACTCAAACTCTATATATATCTGTCTATCTATCTCTGTCTCTTCCCTATTTCAGTTTGTTTTCCTGCTTATCTCACCTTAACTTCGCTTATTTCATCTTCCTTCTTCGCAAGAGCGTCCTTCAAAGAAGCAATGTCGATTTCCTTCTCCTCAACCTCCTTATCCTTGTCTCGCAGCTTCTCCTTCATGTCTTTTCGGTAGTTTTCGAGGCTCGTCTGGAAGGAAGAAATCGCCAGATGATGATGGCTTTCCTTTGAATCTTGTGTGTTGTGTGTGTGTGTGTATGTGCATATAACTGTATTTGTGTGTCTATGAGTGTTTCCATGCCTATTCCTCCTGCTTCTCTTTCGTATAACAATGAATTTAACTCTATCTCTCTCTCTCTCTCTTTGCCTTCCACTCTCTCTCTCTCCTTTTCACCTTTTCCTATCTTTTCCACATTCTCTCTATCACTCTCACCATTTCTCTCTTTCACTCTTTCTCGTACCTTCGTCCTCTCTCTTTCTCATCCTTCTTCCTTCCATCGCCTCTCTCGCGCTTTCGCTTTCACTCTCATGATTCTCTTTCCCGCTCTCTCTCTCTCTCTCACTCACTTTCTTTCTCTCACCCTCTCTCCTTCTCTCTCTCTCTCTCTCTCTCTCTCTCTCTCTCTCTCTCTCTCTCTCTCTCTCTCTCTCTCTCTCTCTCTCTCTCTATTGACTTTACCTATCGATCCATCCATCTATTTTGCTACCCACATCTCTGTCACTCTCACTCTATATCTATCTATCTATCTCTGTTTCTTCCCTATTTCAGAACTCGTTTTGCTTTCTCACTTTCTCTCTGTCTCTATCTCTCGCTCTCTTTCTCTTTCTCTCTCTCTCTCTCTCTCTCTCTCTCTCTCTCATCGTCTTTACCTATCGATCTATCCATTTATTTTCCTAGCTTGTTATTCACACCTCTGTCACTTTCACTCTATATCTATCAGACTATCTATCTCTGTCTCTTACCCATTTTAGGACACTTTGCTTTCCTGTTTATCTCACCTTAACTGCGCTTATTTCATCTTCCTTCTTCGCAAGAGCGTCCTTCAAAGAAGCAATGTCGATTTCCTTCTCCTCAACCTCCTTATCCTTGTCTCGCAGCTTCTCCTTCATGTCTTTTTGGTAGTTTTCGAGGCTCGTCTGGAAGGAAGAAATCGCCAGATGATGATGGCTTTCCCTTTGAATGTATGTGTGTTTGTGTATGTGCATATAACTGTATTTGTGTGTCTGTGTGTTTACATGCTTCTTCCTCCTACCTCCCTTTCGTATAATGATAATAAATTGAACTCTCTCTCTCTTTAGTTTTTCCTCCCTTCCTCCCTCTATTCCCCTCGCTTCCTATCCGTCTCTGTATACATCTCTCTCTCTCCATCTCTCATTCTCTCTCTCTCTCATCCTCTCACTCTCTTCCGTCCTATCTCTCTCTCACCCTCCTTTCTTTCCCATCCCCCCCTCTCGCGTTCTCGCCCTCTTTCTCAATCTCTGTCTCACCATCTCTCTTTTTCTTTATTTCTCTCTCACCCTCTCGCTCTATTTCATCCTCTCCCTCATGACCCCCCCCCCTTCCTCT